AAGAGAGAATCTTAAAAGCAGCAAGAGAAAGGCAGCTAGTTACCTACAAGGGAGTTCTCATTAGGCTGTCAGCTGATTTCTCAAAAGAAACTTTGCAGGCCAGAAGGGAGTGGCAAGAAATATTCAGAGTGATGAAAACCAAGAACCTACAACCAAGATTACTCTATCCTGCAAAGCTGTCATTTAGAATCGATGGACATATAAAAACTTTCCCAGACAAGAAAAAGTTAAAGGAGTTCATCACTACCAAACCATTATTATATGAAATGATGAAGGGTCTTTTTGAAGAAAAAGATAAAATGTATGAACAAACAAAATGGCAATGAATACAGATCTATCAACAATGGAATCTACAAACAAAATGAACAGGTAGAACAGAAACATTCTCATAGATAGAGAACATTTTGTTGGTTGCCAGTTGGGAGAGGGGTTGGGGAATGGGTGAAAAAGGTGAAGGGATTAAGAAGCACAAATTCATTGCTAGACTGACAAACCTCAAAGGGAAAGGGGTTGGGGGGATGGGAAGAAATAAACCAAAGAACTTATATGCATAACCAATGGACACAGACAATAGTGTGGGAAAAGGTGGGAGGGGGGCGAGAGTGGGGAGGAGGGGGTCAATGGGGGAAAAATGTGGAACATCTGTAATACATTTTACATCCAACAATAAAGATTTGAAAAAAAAATATATATATAGGCAGAGAAAATAAATAGACACCTCTCCAAACAGGACATACAAATGGGCAAGAGACATATGAAGATATGCTTAACATCACTAATCATCAGAGAGATGCAAATTAAAACAACAATGAGGTATCACCTCACACCTGTCAGAATGGCTAAACATCAACAAAGCATCAAACAACAAGTGTTGGCGAGGGTGTGGAGAAAAGGGGACTCTAGTACACTGCTGGTGGGAATGCAGATTGATGCAGCCACTATGGGAAACACTATGATGTTTCCTCAAAAAATTAAAAATGGAACTTAAAAGTAGAACAGTGATCCCATTCCTAGGAATATAACTTAAGAAGCCTGAAACACCAGTCAGAAGGAATATATGCACCCCTACGTTCATAGCAGCACTACTTACAATTGCTAAGATATGGAAACAGCCCAAGTGTCCATCAATAGATGAATGGATAAAAGCTGTGGTACATATACACAATAGAATACTATGCAGTTGTAAGAAAGAAAGATCTCTTATCCTTTGAGACATGGAGGGACCTGGAGAGTATTATGCTAAGCGAAATAAGCCAATCAGAGAAAGACAAGTATCACATGATCTCACTTATTAATGAACAAAATAAGCCCAGCTAGTGTGGGTCAGCATCGTCCCATGGACTGAGGGGTCCTGTTCGATTCCCAATCAGGGCATGTGCCTGAGTTGTGGGCACGATCCCCACTAGGGGGCGTGCAGGAGGCAGCCAATCGATGTTTCTCTCTAAGATCAATGTTTCTATCTCTTCTTTCCTCTCCAAAAAATCAATAAAAACATAATGGACAAAATAAGCTAATGAACAAAACATATCCAGAGATATGGAAGTAGGGAACAGACTGATAAACCTCAGAGGGAAGGGGGAGAGAAGAGATAAACCAAAGGACTGATATGCATGTATACATAACCGATCGACACAGACAACAGTGGGATGAAGGGGCAGGGGTGGGGGCTGTCAATGGGGGGAAAGGAGGAACATCTGCAATACTTTCAACAATAAAGATAAATTTTAAAAATAGAGTAAGAGAAAAAATAGTGCTAAAGAAAAAAATACACAGCTTATACATAAATCCCTAAATTTAAGAAAGGCAACATGCTCCATGAGGGGTTTTTCCTTAAGATTGGAAAAAAAAAATAGAGAACAGAGACGAGACAATGTCCCATAAAGACAGTCCTCTCGATTGGTTTAGAGTTCTAGACTAAGATAACAGACTTATATAGCTACTACTGGGAGAGATGGGCCAAGATTCCTATAATGTTGTGAAAAGCCAAACAAAACTAAATATTGAACATGGCAGAGAACTAACAAGTAGTCCTTTTGGTGGTTTTATTTTCAAATGTACTCCAAAGCTACCTAAAAATATGCACTATTGAAAATAATGGCAACTCATCTTTCTGATAGAATTCAACAATAGATGCTGTCTGCATCTACTACCTGTGGTCAAACTCCAACCCCAAGAATAAGGATGCTGTCATTTGACTAAAAGTATTGTCATTCAGGCTATTATTACCACATTTCACCCAATCAGATCGAATCTTTACCTAGTTATGCCAAGCTGGATGGGATCCCATGCCATCTCTAAAATTGTGCTGTTTTATTCTACAACAAATTAGTTGGATGGCCTAATCTCTTCCCTGTCTCTGTGTAATCCATAACACCTGGTGGCCATGCCCAGGAATTCGTTCCCCTACCACTGACTCCCCAAACAATGTTAACCAGATCACTTCACATCTCAGGACCTCATTCTTCTTATTTATAGCATGGAGTCAGTGACTATCTGGTCTTAACAAAAGTGTTAGGATGGTTAAATGGAATCATGAATATTGCAATACTTTGAATATCTGTAAAGTACTACATAAGTATCAGATACTATCACTGACATTGCAAGTTTAATTTAGCAGATGAATAAACTACTTTTATAAGCAACTCCTCTAAGCCTGAAATGACAGTTAACATTACACTCTGACTCTTGAACACCAAAGATTAAGGGGACAACTTGATCTATGCTTATGCTGCCAAATAAAATGCAACTAACCTGCAAAGGTGTAAGTACTTCTCCAGGGACTGGCTAATAAGACATGGCTACCAGGCTCGTTGATGTCACGACAGCCTGTGGTTCATTTAGTCTTTGTAGGAAAATTAATCTTGTACTTTGATCATTTTCATTAGTTTTATTTTGTATATTATTAACCAATTAGATGGTTACAAAATACTGTAAGACCATAGGCTGTCTTGCACTACATAGTTTCCCAGCAAATACAGGGTGGGGCAAAAGTAGGTTCACAGTTGTGAGTACATGAAAAAAGTTCATTCTTCTATTATTATTTATTAATGAGTGTATTATGTTCCATATGAACAACTATAAACTTGTTTTTGCCTCACCTGGTCTTATACTAAGTAATTAAAGTGTCAAAGAACTATGTCAACTCTGAGCTGAAACAACCTTTGGTATATCTGACTATATTCATTTTCCAATATAGGAAATTTAGAAAATACATATAAAAAGTATAAATTGGTGTCTCCATATTCATATACGAAAACATCACATTCTTTCACTGAATTCTGTCAAGCTCACAGTATCTTGTATCCATTTAGAAACCGGATACAAGTCGGCTGGGAGGCTGGTCACTGAGCGCCAGCTCTGAGGGTGGGGCGGGCCGGGCCAGCCCGCAGTTAGTGGCGTGGGAGTTGTGAAGAGCACTCTTACGTTTACCTGGATGGCTCACTCCCAGCAGAAGTGTCGTGTAGCGGAAAGTGCAACGCCAACAGCACAGTGGGGATCGGAGCTCTCTCCGTATTCTTGGGCCCACACAGGTCTCCAGGATTTCTCTAAGTTCTGTGGGGGAGAGAGACCTGCTGGGAGTCTCAACATCCCCAGCGTCTCCTCCTCACCATCCATGCCTCTTCCCTCCCTGAGTGAGGGCCCGGCAGTGGGGGCCCGGCAGGGGGGGGGCCGACAGTGGGGGCATGGCAGTGGGGGCCCGGCGGGGGGGGCCCGGCAGTGGGGGGGGCCCGGTTGGGGGGGGCCCGGCGGAAGGGGCCCGGCAGGGGGGGGCCTGCAGGGGGCCTGGCGGGGGGGGCCCGACAGTGGGGGCCCGGCAGTGGGGGCCCGGCAGTGGGGGGCCGGCGGGGGGGGGGGGGCCGGCAGTGGGGGCCCCGCAGTGGGGGCCCCGCAGTGGGGGGCCCTGTGGGGGGGCCCAGCCCGGCAGTGGGGGCCCGGAAGTGGGGGCACGGCAGTGGGGGCCCGGCGGGGGGCCCGGCGGGGGGGGCCCAGCCCGGCAGTGGGGGGCCGGCGGGTGGGGGCCGGCAGTGGGGGGCCGGCGGGTGGGGGCCGGCAGTGGGGGCCCGGCGGTGGGGCACGGCAGTGGGAGCCCCGCAGTGGGGGCCCGGTGGGGGGGCCCGGCCCGGCAGTGGAGGCCCGGCGGGGGGGCCCAGCCCGGCAGTGGGGGCACGGCAGTGAGGGCCTGGCAGTGGGGCCTGGCGGGGGGGGGGGGACCGGCAGTGTACAGTGGGCACTGCAGGGGGGGCATAGCAGGGGGGCCGTCAGTGAGGGTACCGCAGGGGGGCCTGGCAGTGAGGCACAGCAGTGGGCACGGCAGGGGGGCACAGCAGGGGGGTGAGGATACTGCGGGGGGGGGGGGGCACGGCAGGGGGGCACAGCAGGGGGGCTGGCAGGGCTTCCCTGATTTGTGCCCAGGAAGCAGCTATCCCATGAGCTCGGTTGCCCAGCAGTCCGGAAACACAGCATCATCATGTGCACAAAGCCCGCGGAGTCCTGAAACGTGAGAGTGCTGCACTGCAGACCCTGTTCCTAACGCAGGTCTTCCCTGAGAAAGCACATCAAGTTATCATCGCTTTAAATTTTTATTTTAAACCAGCAAAGCAACAGGAAGACTTGGGAAGGAAAGAGAAGTCAAGATAAACCCTAGAGAATACACTCTGGGAATAAAGCATGATTTATAATATCAGTTCAAAAACTAAATATTGAATCTTTTCTGAATTTAGCATATATTTTCATGTATTTTACTTGAAAAAAATATATATATAGTTTTAAAATTGATTTTAAAGAGGGAGGAAGGGAGAGGGGGAGAGAGAGAGAGAAACATTAATGTGAGAGAGATACATAGATTGTTGCTTCCCACACAAGCGCCGACTTGGAATTGAGCCCGAAACTTGGGCATGTGCCCTGACCACAACTGAACCCACAGCCTTATGGTACACAGCACAGCACTCGAACCCACTGAGCCACACCAGCCAGGGTGTGTGTGTGTGTGTGTGTGTGTGTATTTTATGGACTGCCTCATGAATTGACATGTCATCCTTGCAGAGGGGTCATGCTAATCTTCTCTGTATCGATCCAGTTTTAGTATATATGCTGCCGAAGTGAGCACAAGCCTCATGTATTTCTAAAATGTAACTACAGTGTTTGAATCTCTACATAAATTCTTTCCAGTAAAACATTTTTCAGAAAAAGAAAATGAAACCTTATTAGTATTCTATGTAACCAAAGAAGCAATCATGTGCCTTGACTAGATATGTAATGTATGTTCATGGAATAAACTTTCCAAAGTGCTGATTAACTGAATTTAACCTTCAAGTTCTGCTGATTATCCACTATGCTGCATTCATAATAGAAACCCTTCATCACTGCATAAGCAGGAAAATGACTCCCACAGTCACTGTAAATTGAGAAGGGCTTTTTTTAAACCTTAGGCAATTAAAATAGATTGGCCTTTGTGGTTATACCCCTGACCTTTCCTCTGAGTTTACTTGATTGGCAGTGAAATACGTCAGCCAAATGTTCTGGTAAATTGGGTTGTGTTGGTCATAAAGTTGAGAGTTGATAGAGTAGGTATCATACATAGATTACCCACCATCTGATTTTATTTTCCCATACTGTGCTGTGTGATGCTCTGTACAATCAATATCCACTTTGAGGATTAGTCCAAGTCCCTGCACTTGCAGTTCTGGCTCTGTGTTACTGTTTGGTCATCTATCCCCAGAAGGGCTATCAACTTAACTGTTAAGAACAGGCCCAGCCAGTGTGGCTCAGTGGTTGAGTGTCAACCCATGCACCAAGAGGTCACCAGTTCAATTCCCAGTCAGGACACATGCCCAGGTTGTGGGCCCAATCCCCAGTGGGGGGCGTGCAGGAGGTGGCCAATCAATGTTCTCTCTCATCAATGTTTCTCTCTCTCTCTCCCTCTCCCTTCCTCTCTCTCTAAAATCAATAATAAAGAAAAAAAATTTTAATAAAACAAAATTGAATAGCACATGAATCTGTAGAGCTTTGCAACAAAAAAGCAACCAATAATGACACAGCAGGAGTGCAGCCCTCTCTTAACATCAAAATTTAAACATTTTAATTCAACAAGACTGCATCAAATGGCAAAACAGCTCACTTTTGCACTATTTCCGGAATACTTCCATAATTCTACTTCCCAGTAAACTAACTATTTGAAAGCTACTGAATTCAATGCAATCTCTCCTGGGGAAGGAGAGGGGAGAAATGGCAAGGGATATACCGCTGTTCTGATTACCCCAAGATGTTCCATGAAGGGCTTGCTATACCACAGGCGACGACCTCCAGCTCTGGGTACTGAGGAAAGGGGAGCTCACTGTCTGGTAGGAGAGACAGACCTACAACTGTTGTCAGCACATCTGATGTATTCTTCCACTTGGAAAGCTTTGTTTTGAGACATTTGTTTGTTTTCCACCATTTTGAGCAGGGCAAAATGCCCTCAGAGTCAGCTCTCCAATCAGTCTCTCTTAATGACCAAGACAACAGCCAGCCTAACCATAATTAAGAAGAAGAAAGTGCTGCTTTTGCAAATGCAGCAAATGCAGCACTGTGCCCCACGCTGCCATGGCTACAGGCCTCACACACTCTGCGAACCATATCACAGTCAAGACCCTTAGCCTTTCCTGCGTGCCGCATCCTCTTCCAACCATACTGTCTGACAAAGTCCAGATACAGAGAGGAGAGCTTCAAGGATGCATCTTCTAGGAAGAGGACGTAGCATGGGGGTGGGATTGATCAGTATTACGGGAATTGTAATATTGGGAATTATTATTCTACTATATGACTAACCAGGGAGTAACAAACAAGGTATCTGAAATCATGCCTCTTCAATTAAATTCTGAAGAAACTCCAGTTTCCCCTGAAACAGTCACCATTGCATGTCCAGACTGTCTTAATAATTTACTAATTCAATTAGGTAAAAAAATTTCCCTTGAAAGTCCCTAATAAACAATTCATAGATGAATTGTAACAGGTAGAACTAATGGAGGCACCTTATACTCCTGTGCCTCCTCCCCAGATAGAAAGAGTATTTCAAGAGAATAAAAGAAAATTGTATTGACCCCTACCCACTGCTCAAGTGTTTCCTTATATAGATTATTGGATAAAAGGAAAACTATTGTACCCACCTAGAGAAATTAGAAGTATAAAAAGGATTCCTGACCCTCCCTCGCCCTCAACAGGAGCATATAATGAAGATAGAATAAGAATAGTTAACAAAGACGAACTACGTGTTCCTTATGCGAGCTGACTTCATGGAATGATCGGCAGGCCAAGGCCCCCTCGGTGCTTACGCACAAGGGAACAGAAGAAATCTCAATCATTGCAGTTGAATAGGTTTTATAAGAAATGCTGTCCTGAGTTAGTTAGGGAGGTAAATCAGAAACTAGCTGATCTAAAAACCCAGGTCAACTAAAGGTCAACTATTAATCTCAGACAAAGGACCTATAGAAAACTCTGTCTCACCTTACAGGTTACTCTACTCCCTTCTTTGTATCTATAAACACAAAAAATTATAAATTAATTCTGATAAAAATGAAACTAACATCCTGGTACTATGGAATGAAACTCCCTGCCTCTTTAACCTCAAATGTTAAACTCATGCCAAAAAAGAAAATATATAAGCACATAGAAACTTGCAATAAATCGGAACAGTGTCACACTTCCTCTGAGTCATGTAGTCACCTGTCTCCCAGCGCCGACGCCTGACCACCTTCAGGACCCCCTGGGCCCTGCTGCAGCTGGAAAAGGACATACATATTCTACAAAAGAAAAGAGGATCAACTCACCTGATATTTTAAAAAAAAGAGTTTGACAAAACTCACCACTCTTTCATGAAAAAAAATATCCCTCAGCAAACTAGGAATAGCAGGAATCTATCTCAAAAAGTGAAAGCCATATATGGAATGTCAAAAGACCCCACATAGCCAAAACAATATTGGAAAAGGAGAACAAAATGAGAGAACTCATGATTCCTGACTTCAAAACTTACTACAATGCTCATGACATTGAATTTGGCAATGATTTCTTGCATATGATACAAAAGGCATAGAAAAAAAAGGAAAAATAGACAAATTGGATTTCATAAAAATATAAAGCTCCTGTGCATCAAAGGGCACAATCAACAGAGTGCAAAGACAACTCACAGAATGGGAGAAAAAATTTTCATATTCATATATCTGATAAGAGATCAATAGCCAGAAAAAATAGAGAACTGAATAACAAACAACTAAACAACTTGATTCGAAAATTGGAAAAGGACAATTGAAAATTGACAATTCTCCAAAGAAAATACACAGTCAATAAGCACATGAAAGACATTCAATATCACTAATCATTAGGGAAACAAAGATAAAAATCACAATGAGGTACCAACTCCCACCCATTAGGATGGCTACTAAAAAAAAAAAGCAAAACATAACAAGTGGTGGCAAGGATGTGGAGTAATCTGAACCCTTGTGCTCTGTTGATGAGAATGTAAAATGATATAGCTACTATGGAAAACAGTATGATGGTTTCCCCCAAAGTTAAAAATAGAATTACCACATGATCCAGCAATTCTACTTCGTAAAAGAATTGAAAGCAGGGTCTAGAGGAGATATCTGTACACCCACATTCACAGAAGCATTATTCACAGTAGCCAGAACATAGAAGCAGCCCATGTCCACAGATTAATGGATAAGCAAAACATGGTATATACATTCAATGCAGTGCGTATCAGCCATGACACAGAAGGAAATCCAGCCATTTGCAACAACCTGGATGGACCTTGAGGACATTATGCTAAGTGAAATAAGTCAGACAAATAAATACAGTATATCACTTATATGTGGAATCTTAAAAAGCTGAATTTATAAAAACAGGGAGTACTGTGTACAATAGAGTGGGTATAGTCAACAATATTATATTATAATGTCAAAGATGCTAAGAGACCAGATCATGATTGTTCCTATCACAAAACAGAAATCATAATTATGTGACATGATAGAGGTATTAACTAACTTTACAATGGTAATCAAATTGCAACATACAAATGTACCAGAAGAGCACTTATACACCTTAAACTTATACAATGATGTATGTCAATTATACCTCAATAAAAATGAATTAAAAACACAAGGAAAGTGAGAGGAAACTGTCACAGCCTAGAAGAGACTAAGGAGACAAGACAACTAAAGGTACTGTGGTATCCTACTGGGATTCTAGAACAGGAAAAGGACATTAGCCCTGGCCAGGTTTGCTCAGTGGTTAGAACGTTGGCCCATGGACTAAAGAGTCCCAGGTTCGATTCTGGCCAAGGGCACATGCCCCAGCTGTGGTTCATTCATAGCGCCGGTTGGGGTCGTGCGGGTGGCAGTCAATCAATGCGTCTCTCTCACATTGTTTCTCTCTCTCTCTCTTCCTCCCTTTTTCCCTCCCACTCTACCTGGAGATGGATATAAAAATATCCTCGAGGGAGGCTAAAATAAATAAAAAAGAAAAAGGACATTAGGTAAGATCTAAGGATATCTAAATAAACTATGGACTGTAGTCAATAATTAATTGTATTAAATGCATCACACTATTTATTGTAAGATGTTAACAATCCAGGAAACTAGGTGCAAGTATATGGGAACTGTCTGTTTTTCTCTGCAGCTATTTTCTTAACTCTAAATATTTTCTAAATTAAAAGTTTATTTAAGACAGCCAGCCTGCCCTGCAAATTTCAGACTTATCAGCTGAGAGTGGAAAATGGCGGCAGAGTAAATTGGAGCTACACAGACCATCTCCCAGGATCAAACTGGAATTACAACTAAAATAAATACAAATCATCAGGAAAAAACAACTGAAAAGCAGCTGGAGAGAACCCATACAACCAGGGCCAGAAAGAAGATGCCAAATGGAGCCTGGTGGAACTGCGGAAGTGCATGAGGGCAGGCTGGGAGCCCATGAACAGCAGTGGAGAGCTGTATTAGCTGAGTGTGCTTCCCACTGAGAAAGTAAGGGTTTTAAAAAGCAGCAAATCAGCTACAGCCATGCACCTTGGGCCTGGCACAGGAAGGGCAGGCTGGACTAGAACTGTGTGGAGAGCCTCTGGGGATCCTGGCTCTG